AATAATGACAAAATAATCGTAAATTCAACAAAGAAGCATTCGAAATGACGCCATGATCATGATTTGATTTGAATGCTTTTGGTTCGAGACGATAAGGGTCTTTAAACATTGCCTTTTTTAAAATCTATGTTTTGGGTTTTCGTATCCCCGATTGCAACCGAAACCATTTGAACAACTAATTGGTAGAAAGTCATGTACATTTCATCACATTTACTATTTAGTCAAGTAGTTACTGAGCGGATGAGATTGAACACACATGTGTACGACAGACGAAAGAATAGCCATCGGGCCAATAAGCTCACAGAGATTTAAAAGTCTATATAATATTCATACATTTTACCTAGTATATATAGAAAATATCGAAGTCTAAACTGTAACCGAAATCTGAGTATAAACTGTAACAAAATTGGCTAAAAATCGCTAGGTCTATGCTGTAACCTTGCACAAATCACCTCGCTCTATACTGTAACATTGTTTATTTTTTCAAACGCATTTAAAGAACAGGAAAATAGTTTCAATTGGTCATTTACTTTTATAAACGTTTCCTAACATAAAGGACTAACGTTTTGCAGATTTACTTTTTCTAGGCATGCATAAATAATGTCGAAATTGGAGGAAAATGCGTTGGTCTCTTGATTCAAATTTTCAAACTGTCAAATCTACATATTTATGAGACAATATAACGATAAATCTGCGATGCAGAGTCTGAAGAAATATATGACTAGATACCTGATTCTATTCCTTACAAGCAAAACACAAAAAACATCTTTTAGAAAGTAAACTACTTGTAGTATAGACCGGAATAAAAATCACCTACCTGTCCTCCCAACAAATAATCCTCCATCTTTAAAATTCTATACTGTAACCGAAAAACGCGATACTGTAACACGTTCCCTACGGTGACCTCGAATCTCCCAATAACAGATCTATGTAATGTATTAATATATATATTCTGGTGTGTTTTAATTATCTCTACACATTAATTTTCAAATGAATTACTTTATCGTTTATTAATAAAAATGAAATCTATAATCAAATCAATTCAGATGTACTTTAATATTTTCATTATTCAATAATTGTTACATATAGTCTGCATATACAACCTTTCCAACAAATTCATTTATATTGGACAGCAAGTTAACAAGGTTTTTCCGTATAATCAGGCTGTGTGACCAACTTCGTAATACTATTGAGCTAAAAACGAGTGTAGGACAAAAGCGTTCCCGGACAAAAGCCATCCCATCAAAAAGTGACAAGGCGGACAAAAGCCCTCCCGTGAAAATGATAAGGCGGACAAAAGCCTTCCCATGAAAATGACAGGGCGGACAAAAGCACTCCCGTAAAAATGACTTGGCGGACAAAAGCCCTCCGTGAAAACAATAGGGCGGACAAAAGCCCTCCCGCAGCAAATACATATATGTACATTGAATAGCTTATATTTTCTTTTCAATGCACTCAACATATTAATATTGTAATCATGAATATTTTTTGTTTTCCATTGGCATAAGCATGTTTGTATGAGCTTGAGCACATTCCTGAGAGGCATCTGAATAATTAGTGCTAAAATCTGTAAGTGCATATTTATTTACGTAGATATGAAGGATTACTCCTATGTGAAGAGTAATAAATGATGCAAAGAAGTCAAAATTATTTAACTTACAAGCTAAAGGCATTTATAATGTGCCTTGTAATGAGTCAATTACTTTTAAAAGTGACTTTGTTTTTAACGACATTCGTGTAAAAAGTTACCTCGTTAAACATTTCAGGAAGGTATATTCAGAATAAAGGTTCTGGCTCATGGCCAATTGAAAACAACAAGAAATATATGTAACAATTTTAATATGTTGAGTGCATTGAAAAAACACGGGTATTTAACATACATATTTATTTTTGTTACGGGAGGGCTTTTGTCCGCCTTGTTAATTGCATGGGAGAGCTTTTGTCAGCCCTGTTATTTTCACGGGAGGGCTTTTGTCCGCCCTGTCATTTTCACGGGAGGGCTTTTGTCCGCCTTGTCATTTTTTTTGACGGGAGGGCTTTTGTCCGTTTTCCCGTATTCTACTGTTACACCAATTGTAGTTTGCTTGAATATATTAAAGATGTTTTTAAAATGGAATGTAAGACAAAAGCCCTCCCGGACAAATGCTCTCCCGTCAAAAAGTGACAAGGCGGACAAAAATGACAGGTCCCGTAAAAATGACTTGGCGGACAAAAGCCCTCCCGTGAAAATAATATGGCGGACAAAAGCCCTCCCGCAGCAAATAAATATATGTACGTTGAAAAGTTTATAATTTCTTTTCAATGCACTCAACATATTAAAATTGTAATCATGAATATTTTTGTTTTCCATTGGCATAAGCGTGTTTGTATGAGCTTGAGCACATTCCTGAGAGGCATCTGAATAATTAGTGCTAAAATCTGTAAGTGCATATTCATTCACGTATATATGAAGGATTTCTCCTATGTGAAGTTAAGATTAATTAATAAAGAGTAATAAATGATGAAAAGAAGTTAAAATTATCTAACTTACAAGTTAAAGGCATTTATAATGTGCCATGTAATGACTCAATTGCATTTAAAAGTGAATAAAAGGTGGTTAGAGCTCATACACATACTTAGGCCAATTGAAACCAACACGAAAATTATGTAACAATTTTAATATGTTGAGTGCATTGGAAAAAAACCACAGGTATTCAACATATATATTTATTTTTGTTACAGGAGGGTTTTTGTCCGCCTTGTTAATTTCACGGGAGGGCTTTTGTCCGCCCAGTCATTTTCATGGGAGGGCTTTTGTCCGCCCTGTTATTGTCCCCCGCCTTTTCGAAGAAAAAAGGGGGATATAGAAATAGGCTCCGTCCGTCTGTCCGTCTGTCCGTCTGTCCGTCCGTCTGTCCGTCTGTCCGTCCGTCACACTTTCGTGTCCGGTCCATAACTTTGTCATTTATGAAAGGAATTTGAAATAACTTGGCACAAATGTTTATTATAATATGACGATGTGTCATGCGCAACAACCAGACCCCTACCTCCAGGGTCAAGGTCACACTTGCTCATTCAAGGTCAAAATTGCCTATTTGAGGGTATATGTCGTGTCCGGTCCATAACTTTCTTATCTATGAAGGGATTTTGTAAATACTTGCCATAATCGTTCACAATAATCAGACGATGTGTCATGCGCAAAAACCAGTCACTTACCTTCAAGGTCAAGGTCACACTTTGAGGTCAAATATTAACATAGTCTGTTACAGGGTATATTTCGTGTCCGGTCCATAACTTTCTTATCTATGAAGGGATTTTGTAAATACTTGCCATAATTGTTCACAATAATCAGACGATGTGTCATGCGGAAAAACCAGTCACCTACCTTCAAGGTCAAGGTCACACTTTGAGGTCAAATATTAACATAGTCTGTTACAGGGTATATTTCGTGTCCGGTCCATAACTTTCTTATCTATGAAGGGTTTTTGTAAATACTTGCCATAATTGTTCATAATAATCAGACGATGTGTCATGCGCAAAAACCAGTCACCTACCTTCAAGGTCAAGGTCACACTTTGAGGTCAAATATTAACATAGTCTGTTACAGGGTATATTTCGTGTCCGGTCCATAACTTTCTTATCTATGAAGGGTTTTTGTAAATACTTGCCATAATTGTTCATAATAATCAGACGATGTGTCATGCGCAAAAACCAGTCACCTACCTTCAATGTCAAGGTCACACTTGGAGGTCAAATATTAACATAGTCTGTTACAGGGTATATTTCGTGTCCGGTCCATAACTTTGTCATTTATCAAAGGAATCTGAGATAACTTGGCACAAATGTTTGTTATAATAAGACGATGTGTCATGCGCAACAACCAGACCCGTACCTTCAGGGTCAAGGTCATACTTGTTCATTCAAGGTCAACATTGTCTATTTGAGGGTATATGTCGTGTCCAGTCCATAACTTTCTTATCTATGAAGGACTTTTGTAAATACTTGCCATAATTGTTAACAATAATCAGATGATGTGTCATGCGCAAAAACCGGTCACCCACCTCCAAGGTCAAGGTCACACTTGGAGGTCAAATACTTACATAGTCTGTTACAGGGTATATTTTGTGTCAGGTCTATAATTTTTTCATAGATCAAAGGATTGTGAAAATACTTTGCACAAATAGTCACTATAATAAGAGGATGTGTCATGCGCAACACCTGCATCCCTACCTCCAAGGTCAAGGTCACACTTAGAGGTCAAAAATTAACATAGTCTGTTATAGGGTATATTTTGTGTTGAATCTAGAACTTCTTCATAGTTCAAGGGATTTTGAAATAACTTGGCACAAATAGTCACAATAATAAGACGTTATGTCATGCACAACACCTGCTCCCCTACCTCCAAGGTCAAGTTCACACTTAGAGGTCAAAGCTTAACATGATAGATTTTTAAATTCCGTGTTTCATTTTATTTTTTTAACAAATTTATTGTTACATTTGCAGATCTAGCATTGATCATAATTTTGGACTGAATGTCCTGAGATCCATACCATAATCTTTTGAAATAGCAAAATTTTATGCTTCATATAAAACTCCCGGGGCGGGGGACGTTGGTAACTCTGTTACAAATTCTTGTTTTCACGGGAGGGCTTTTGTCCGTCCTGTCTTTTTTTGACGGGAGGGCTTTTGTCCGTTTCCCTATAAAATGACATGTAAAGTGTAAACACTTAGGGGAAAATGTACACAAGTTCGTCGCACACATTTCCCAACTATAACTGGGTTAAAGTTGCCTAAACATTTTTGAATAGTTATATAATATTGAATAAAATGTAAATGGTGAGATTTATACTGATTGAAACCTTTAATCTCATTTATCAGTAATATATACGATTATACATAATAATTTTTATATATTACATTCTTGCTTTAACAATTACATAATGTTATTAATTCAAACACTGTTTATACAAAATATTATCTTCATTTTCACAGTAAAGTGTGTGTCCTTTTCATTTTCAGCGCGATATAGATATAGCTTTTCATTTGTAGCTTAAGTTTGCCTGTTTAAATAAATCTGTGGATGTAAATATTTAACATTTAACACTTTAATATAATGACTCACTTTATGATAGAAAACTCATTTTATTTTGGCCGTATAGGCGGTGGGTGTGACTCTCCTAGACTGCATCGATCTGGCTTCAAATCACCATTATTTTACCACAAGTAAGTTTAATTAAATATATTGTTTGTTCTATTTCTATTCTAAAATATCTTTAAAAAACTAATTCAAGAATACCTGTTAAGTGTGAACACAGAGGACCAACTTCATATGATTCTCCGAAATGTGCATCGGTTAAAAAATATGTTGGTTTCCAGTAGCACATATGTATTCCCATATGATGAAAAAAACATACCCCCCCCCCCCCCCCCCAAAAAAAATATATATTTTTTTTTTGTAAAATTGTGCTTTTTAATGCGTTTAATTTTCTTCTGACACTCAAATAGTTTTCATAATAAACTGAAAATTCTTTAATTAAAATTCGTCTATGATATCTTAAAAGTTTGCTTCATACACATTAAATTTTCAATAAAACAAGTTTGCTTCTTTAAAAAGAAGCATGGAGAGGTATTTTTGCAGCTGTTGATTATTTGTTTAATTGTTCATATGGCGGTAAAGTAAGAACTTCTAATAGGTTGATTTGCATTTGCGAACAATAGCAACATATCAGCTATTTTCTTCAGACTCCGGATAAGCTCAAATTGGGAATAATCAGTGAGGTGTACCAAAGTTAAAGAAGCAGCAAAATTTAGGTACTAGGTTCACTCGGTCATATAATAGTGCTTTGTGATATTGTTACGAAATTACTCTTTTGTTGATTTTTTTATATCTAAACACGATTTTGCTGAAAATGTCTATCATTTAGAACTCAGGATTGCATATTTCAGTCCTATTATCGTCATATTAAAATCATATTTCCGCTAACGATACACCTGTACGGGGACCTCATAATCGTGTACTTAAGTTATCGATTTGTCATGCTAACCTTGCACGATAAGCACGTGAAAAAGCATACCCATGGAAATTTGGTGTTTTATGGCCATATGCTTGCACTTAAACGTGTACTAGCAGCAAGACTTCTCTCGTTTTATTGTAAAACTGTGTTCGAAATTAACAAACTATGGCAAATCGACAGGTTAGACGTCGTCTTAGTGAGGATGATGTGGAACCGATTCCAAATGACATAAATGTCTTGCAGGCTCACGCCGGAGGTCGGGAACGTTCAACGACTCAAGCCCAGGACCGATTTATTGTCTTTCAGGCCAGGCGCCAACGGTTCTCGAACGCTACGACCTTACGTAACGACTTCCAGAATGCAACTTGTGTGCGTTTTAGCACACAAGTTTTTAGAAACAGGTTGCAAGATGCTGGGTCGAGGTCAGGGAGGCCAGCAATTCGCATTCCTTTGACACAACGCCATATTTAAGAGCGTTTACAATGGGCGCAGACTCATGTCACATGGACAGTTAATGATTGGACCCCGGTCCTCTTCGCTGATGAGTGAAGGTTTTGTGTGGACTTCACGGATAGACGGGCTAGGGTTTGGAGAAATCCAAATGAACGCTTAGCTCCAGCATGCGTTGCAGAACACGACCGTTTTGGCGGGGGTTCAGTCATGGTGTGGGCGGGAATAAGTGCTAAGGGGAAAACGAACCTACACATCATTGAAAACGGTACACTGACGGCAGTAAGGTACCTCAATGAAATCTTAGACGTCCATGTACGCACATACGCTGGCGCAGTCGGTCATGATTTCATTCTGATGGATGACAACGCCCGTGCACTAAGAACCCACATCACAAACCGATATCTTGAGGAGCTGCATGGATTTGCCAGCGAGGTATCTAATTGAGCATGCTTAGGATATACTGCAGAAAGCCATTTCTTCGCGCCACGTCCAGCCAACAACAGTTCAGGAGCTAAGACATGAAATCATAGAGGAATGTGCCCAGATTCCTTATCACAAGGTCCGCAGGCTCATCAGCAGCATGCGGCGGCGATGCCAGGCCGTAATTAATGCTCGCGGACACCATCTCGGTATCAAACACCCTACGCCAACCATTTCCTGATTTGCAAGATTTTTTTTATTCCACTATGTGCTCTCAAAAATGTCGTCCAGCACACTCTTTCCGTAACATGCTCACGTCAAGGAACACTTCCATTGTCATTATTTTCATAAAAATCAATTCCTAACTAATTATATTTAATTCCCTTTCATAAATTTTCACATTTATTACAAATACACAATAGTAACGCACTGTAGGAAAAGTGATCCATAGCAAATTTTGAGTAGTATAATAAAATCAATTAAACCAATATAATACATCATTATTATATTCTAGCATATTAAGCACTTAAACTACAACTTCAAAGAACCACAACAAATACAAAATTCCCACTTTATTAGACGTCGCGTGCACGCGGCGGCTAGTAGGTATGCATTCGTCTATGAAATATTGAGTCTTGCGTTTCTCTATTTTTTTTTCTTTTAACAAAATATTTTCAAATTCTGTAATATAAATAGCTTTTCTGATGTACAACATGTCACCAAGCTATCAGGAATTAAAATAAACATTTAACTGAAGTGATAGTAACGGTGGCACAGAGGTGACATGTGTGTTTTTTATTTATATCGTGCGCACGAGATACTATGCCGTGGCCACGAATTACTTTGTCGTGGCCACGAGTTACTAAGTCGTGGGCACGAGATAATTAAGTGGTGGGCACGAGATACTATGTCGTGACCACGAGTTAACTAAGTCGTGGGCACGAGATAATTAAGTCGTGGGCACGACATACTATTTTTAGAAAAAAATCTGTTCAACATTTATCTTTGAAAATAATGAAAATATCAATACATGTACATTTTCTTTTTCACCTATAATGCTACTCATTTTTTTCGAATAGCAACAACTAATCATGGTAAGACATTTAAAAGTTCATATGTAAATAAGCCAAAACAAAAACTTCCACCGACTTTCAAAATGTCCTTAACATGCTTCGCGGCAAATGGTATACCATGATATAACAAGAAAAGCATTGATGCAAAACATCAAAGAGCGTCTAAGCAAGAAATGCAGCAAATGACGATGACCAGATATTCTTATAAGTTTGTCAATGGTTAATTGGATTTAACCAGAATTGTATATTATAGATAAATGGGCGGACGAAAGACATTGTTCATCATGAACTTTGGTAGTCTTGCTAGAGATTAGAATATTAAATGTATATTCTTTGGAACATACAAAACAGTAGTCAAAATGAACAAAGATTTTTTTATTATTTCAATGTATTATAATTGTAACAAATATACAAAGTTATAAAACAGATTAACCTTTTCCCTCATATAAACGTTTTTTGGCGGCTTTTTGTCCCCCCCCCCCCCCTTTGATGCCTCAAACAGTAAAAATCAAAGCACTGCAAGCACTGAGGTATACATTGCTTGACATCAAGACCATGTGATTTTAATCTACTGAACTCAATAGAAGTCATCTTCTGGGTACAGTCAATTTCGAACACAAATCTAGGCTTTTTTCTTCTCAAGTTATTAATAGGACAAGAAAGAGGTGTTGTTCCTACAGACTAGTGCTGTGTTTTTTCCAGGCAAGACTATATGGTTTGCGAAACTGAAGAGCAATACAGAAATCAGTTTGCAAAGACCGGTTTTTTATCTGCAGTATACAATGCTGAAATAGTAAAATAGAGTCTTCAGTGCTTTTATCTATTACTTTAAAAACAAGACCAACATGCGGGTTTGTAGTCTACAAAAATGTGGTATTGAATCATTCAGCAAGACTTAAAAGTTAGGTGAACGTTTTTGTTTACATGCAAAACGCATTCACTGGAAAAAATGCACTCCATAGTGCAATTATTGATTCAAAATAAAAGCATTTGTACTTGACAAAATTTAGGCATCAAAGCCCTAAGCTCTTGCCTTGTACATTCTTAAATTTTTACTACAAGTACATTACGAAAATTAATGACTCCCCTCCCCCCCCCAACCCTCCCACAAGGCAAATTTTATCCCAGGGCTAAAATTAAAACAATCTTGGTAGAGGTCGACTACACAATGTTTCATGCCAAATATCTTACCTCTAGTCTTTGTCAATTCAGAGGAGAATACTGTTTAAGTTTTTTTTTCTATACATGTATATACATTTAAGGAAATCCTAAGACACCACGGTGCCTGGTTAACCTTGTACCTTCAGACAAGATTTTTTTTAAGTTTTTTACTTTATACATACCATATAATGAAAACCTAAAAAGACTCCTTGGCAGAGCCATTTTGACCCCAGGGCTATAATTTGAACAATAGTGATAGAGGTTTACTACACATGTAAAGGTTTCATGCCAAATATCAAACATCTAGCCTTTGTCAATCCAGAGGAGAATATTTTTTGTTATGTTTTTTTTTCTATACATGTTTATACATTTAAGGAAAACCTATGACACCCCTGGTGCTATTTCACTAGGGGCAACATTTGAACAACTTTGGTAAAGGACGTACTGATGATATTATTTACCAAGTATCTAAGCTCTAAGCCTTAAACCTTCTGATAAAAAGATTTTTAAAAAAGTTTTTGCTATATACATATAAGGAAAACCTTAATATATGACCCCAGGGGTGAGGCTAATTCTGACCCTTGGGCTGTAACGTGAATAATCTTGGTAGAGGTTAACTACCAAATGTTTCATGACAAATATCTAACCTCTAGTTTTTGTCAATTCAGAGGAGAAGATTTTAAGTTTTAACTACATACATATCAGGAAAATCTATGAACCCTAGTGCAGGGCTAATTTGACCCCCAGGGTATAATGTGAAAATCTTGTGAATGTCTACCAAACAATGCCTTTTGTAAAATATCTATGCTCTTGGCCTCATTTAAGTCTTTGAACAACTTTGGAAGCCCTTTACTCATGGAACAACCCTGTCAAGTTTGGTTGAAATTCGACAAGATGTTTTCAAAAGATGTTAACTATATAATGTATAAAACACACACACATGCACGCATGCATGTACACACACACACAAAAGAGGAGAATCGCTATATGCCAACACAGCATCTACATGCATCAGACCAGCAGTCCAACACATTTTCAAAAAATAAAATGACAATTACATTGTTGATGTGTTGAAAGCCTTGTGAAATTTAATAAAAGCTTT